CACACTGATGTGCTTATGCACACCCCCTTACAGACCTCTTAGGAAGGGGGTGAGGGCCATACTAGACAGTTTAAGGTTAAAGCTATGGGGGTTTGAGGATGTAACAAGAAAGTCGGGTAGAGCATTCCAGGCATTGACCACTCCGTTGCTGAAGTCGTATTTTCTGCAATCAAGTTTGGAGCACTTTACCTTAAGTTTGTATCTATTGTGAGCTCATGTGTTGTTGTGGTTGAAGCTGAAGTAGTCGTTGACAGATAGGACGTTGTAGCAGGCAATTTTGTGTACTATGCTTAGGTCAGACCACAGGCGGCACAGTTCTAGGTTCTCCAAGCCCAAAATTTTAAGCCTGGTGGCATAAGGGATTCTATTATGAGCAGAGGAGTGGAGGACTCTTCTCGTGAAATACCTCTGGACTCGCTCAATTGTATTAATGTTCCATGTACAGTGTGGATTCCAGGCAGATGAGCTGTATTCGAGAATTGGTCTAGCAAAGGTATTGTATGTCCTAGTTTGCAAAGAGGGTATATACACATAGAAGTGACGCCTGTTTACAGTAGCAAAACTGGGCTAATAATCCTATGATTATTAGATGATCACAAAGAGTAAGAGTTGTCTGTATCTTTTTGCTGCCCTCAGGTGAGCATTAGCCAAAATGGGAGCGCGCACACGCTTGTGTGGTTGCATGCCAAAAAACCAGAAGAGCAGCCGCCCAGTGCGTATGCACATGCCAGGAAGGTGATCTTCTGGTTTCCAGCATGTGCACAGGCCAGGTGGTCTTCGCAAGCACATGCATGTCAGAAGCTGGAAGACCAAGTGGGCAGTGCACATCTGTGCACCAGAAACCGGAAGAGCAGCCACCCGGTTCACGCATGCGCATTGGGCGGCTGCTCTTCCAGTTTCCGGCATTCCCACATGCGTGAAGACCAGCTGGCCAGTGCACCAGAATCTGGAAGATCAACAGGTGACAGCTCGCATTCCTGGAGAGATGGCTCTGCGTGCCACTTACGGCACGCTTGCCATAGTTTCACCATCATGGACCTGTATGTTTTCAGCCTAGACCTGTTGGGCCCTTTAAGAGATCACATTTTCCCACAAAGCTTTTAGAAATGGCCCAGTCATA